GCAAGCGGCTGAGTGCTACGGAAAGATGTTGGATGTGATCGGAGGGTCGATAGGCTAGACGATCGATGGAAGATGAAGTGAAATCGTGACTAGAAGACGAAAAGAGGTAGAACGTTCGAAACGAAAGAAATGATGATGATGGAAGGGCCCGAATTGAAAGTTAGATGATGTGACGACTGATATGCCACGCAGAATAACGATGATGATGATGATGTTGGTGATAGGGGTAAGTGAAAGAAGATGACTTGAAGGGTTCAATACAACGGCAATGAAAAGACTGTGTATGTTCTATCTAAGGTTGGACAATGGTAACATAACTAGTTACATATGTATATGTCCACTCGATTCGAACGATTTGACCCTCTATGTATGCGAAACTTGAAAAGAAGAGAAGCAGGTTAATTTACGATTCTATACTTCTGTTTCCAATTCATGAAAAAGAAATCATCAATGAAATGAACCTCAAAGGACTTCAAAGGACGAAAATGTAAAATATCCAGGGGCCGAGTATGTGAAAGCAGTGTGTCTTGCCGCGAACTAAAAATCACCAACGAGAGTGTGTAGCCAACCGTGATGAGATTGTTGAATTAGTCAGAATCAAATGTTTGACTTCAAACTTGTTCAAAGTATGAACAAACGGATCGATTGACTGACCTTCAAGGTGATCGTAGTTGCTTGGTTGGTCTTCCAGCTGATTCCTGGTTGGGAGACCAAAACTGATCGAAGTGCTGAAATGATGAGACGAGTTGTAAGTGATCTCTATGGTTTAATGCAGCGAGAGGCGGTGGGTAAACTTGTAGTAGCTGTTGGAAACAATCCTCGGATCGATATCAATTTGTAAAACGAGCGAAATCCAAATTGGAAAATGAAAACTTCGCACGTGGACAGAACCTAGAAGTGACCGAGCCGAATAATAAAACGTAATACTAGTACACACAGATACTTTCATTCAACTTCCATATATCCTTGAAAGCAGAACTGACAAATGGGCGAGCTGGTAATCGAGCAATTGCATACATATATTTTGGTCAATTATGTACAAACTTTGATCATAAAGTCTTCAAGCTCATCCATATGAACAATTCGAAGTCTGGTGATGACAGCATGCAGAAGGAAGCAAATGCGATTTATAAACCCCGGCACGATGGGACTTCAAGTTTGCGATTTACTCTGATTTACTTCCATTCCGTTTGAAATGCAAGAATGTAAGAGACAAGCATTCTAGGAAATTTTATATCTCAACTCAAAATCGATTTCTTCAAAGAGATCCAAAGGTAGTCTTGGAGTGATAAGGTCAACTAGTCTATCAACTTTGTCTTTGTATGCAACTTGAACATTTCAACTTCATTGGATGGCTCATTCTCTCAAGAGCGACTTCAAAGTCGAACGACGAAATAAGAGGTTAAACTTATAGTGGGGAAGTACGCGATGATATGGATCATTAATTTAAATCCGCATTGTGACCAAATTTCCCAACTTGATTATGATAACCGCGAGAGGCGAAACCTGTTTAAGACCATCAACCTTGACACTATGTCAAGATGGTTGTGGATCTCTTTGACTTTCAAGCAGTTGACTGAAGCATTGGCGAACTCAAATAACTCGAATATGTGGTAAACTCTGAAAAGACTCGCGAGTCACAAGAAAAAACTCAGAAGAAAAGGTGAGCTTGAAGTTCAAAATGCTCAAGAGCCCTTGAAAAAAGTAATCACGCAAGCTGTGAAGCATGAGTTTCCCAAAATGGTACATATATCAAGCTGCTCTTCTATAGGTCAACCATACCCAGCAGTCATCAAGAGACTTTAGAACCCCGACCTCCAATTGATCCACAAATTCTTGAGATTGACAGAGTCTGGACTGATCAGTCAACTCATGTTATGTGATCTCTTTCTACTCACTAATTTCTTTGGCTTTGTCTTTGTGCATATTTATTGTTCTTTCTGTGACTCATACTGATCTATCCCTTTGCACCATCCATTTTTTTGGTTCTTTCTCGGACCTTAAATACCCCATTTGTTCAATGCTTTCTCTATCTGGACACTCAACGTTTATTTAGTAGCTCAGCCCCAAGTATCCTTAGGTCTACCAGAACAACATTCATTCCCAGGAGATATACCTGTTAAAACTCCCTTTTATTTCATTTTTTACGTCAATCCAGGGCTTTGACTTCCTATCAATTGCAAAATTATTTCTGTTTTTCATCAGTGAACTCCAGCCAATCATTTATACTTATTGAATGTCAGATATCTATATTCACAAGTTTGCTTTTGAATTCACCCGACTTTCCTTGATTACGTTTTACCTACTACTTGAGCAAAGATCAAATATATTTCGCAATGACCACAAATTAAACAAACTTCATTATGGACAATATAATGAGAAAAGAAAAAATAGAAGAACAAAATGACTGAAAACATACTATGAGTCAATATACGACAAGAAGATACGTCACAAGTAGGAATGTGCTTTGTAAGTGTAAAAGAGAAAGAGTTTGAACAAAGGAAGGGAATATACTCTATGGAGACTCATAGACGGGTTTTATAGAAAGAACTGAATAAGAAATAATAGTAAGATCTCCCTATCTTGTGTTTCTATCAAATCTCATTGTCTCTCTTCAATTTAGTTGTGCATAGTATTTTTTTCTCATATCATGTTCCTACATTTCATCTATCATCAATCTCTCTCTATTTTACCCATCAAAGTTATCTAAGAACTGAAAAACTACCAGATCACCACAACACATCTTGTTGATAGTAATTGACTTCAGGACAAGTCTGCTACCAATCTATTTTTTTCAGGTAATTAGAACTTTTGATGGTTGCTCATAAAAGGAATTGTGGTTGGTAACTTGTTTTTAACAAAAGGGAATGGGATATTTTGGACTTCTACATATGTAAAAGTACTGATTGTCAGTTGCCTTACAGCTTATCTTTGGTCTATAACAATGATGCCATGCTGTTGACCACCATCTGTATCTATCTCATTGTGTTCGCTTCTGTCGGAAAAGGCTACTTTTCCATGTTTTGTTCCATTATCTTTTGTGTCCTACCCTCCTCTGATACCAATTTATCTTTTGTTTATTAGTTCTATTCTATTCTGAGATATTAAAACTGTTGCTGGTATTATTTTCATCTTTTTTAGTATAATTTGTTTCATTATTGTTTTTTTAAAAAGAAGAGTGAACTGTTTTTTAATCATTATTATTACTTTTGTAGCTTGTTATTTCTCACTACTATATTTGAGTTGGCTCTTTTAAGAAAGAAATTTCATTTGTTTGATTGTCTTTTCTATTTTTCTTAATGTTATTTTTTCTCTGCGGTATTTATTTTTGTTAGGTGTTTTTACTTTTATCCGCTACCACCCCGTAGGGTGTTGTTATTTGTAGAGAAAAATTATCACCCTAGGCATTATGCCTTGAGATTTTGCCCAGACATGTTTGTTTTATTAAAAAGCAATTTTTTATTATGTTTCCATTGTAAGTTTACTTATTCAAGTTTCTATAAAACATATTTGTCAACATTTCTTATTGTAGACATAGTAGGGATGATCCAATAGTCCTTAAGTAAGTTCCACCCACCGAGTTCTTGCCAGTTATGATCTTGTTCTAGGTACTGATCATCATCTTTATTTGAGAGTTTTTTTTGTTTTTACTAATTTCTCGTTTTAGTTATTTGAAATCCACCTTTGTGTTTAAAGATCTCAAAAGCTTTCAGTTGAGATGTCTTCTTACAACAGATAACAACTCTTTATATTCTTCAATTCACTTTACTAGTCACAAGATCAATGAGATCAGGTGACATGTAGAGGAAGATTACACTTTTCCTTATGTTTGAGATGGCTGGCATGTTATGTATCATGATGAACTTGAATGGAGTGTTTGAAATCGATCGACGTACTTCGCAACTTATAGGCTCTCAATCTACATCTTATAGACCAAAATTGTTTCAAGGCCCGTATAAGATTGACCTTTGAACACGGAAATTTCTGAACAAAACATACTGGTATGTGGGTCAAGTCATCTACGGATTGACAGCTTATCATATCGGCACTTTATGAATCCTTCAAGCTCTATGTGTTGTTGGAGAATGGTATTCTCGAGTGATGTTTCAAGTCTATTAAGGCTGTAGTTTATTTAGACCAATCCGGTAAGAAGGAAAGGTGAAGAGGTTGTGAAGGCTTAAGTAACATATCAATTCAAGAGGAGGATTAAGGAAGGATGTCCGCTTTTGGTTAGATTAAAAGAGTTTTGTTTAAAAGTTGTTTCAGTAATTGTTTTACGTTGTGTTTGTTCAAAATGTGTCCTGGTTGCTTTTCCCTTATCAACCCCCCCTCTCTCCCTTCCGAATCTTTTTCCCCATCGAGGAATTAGATTTTGAAGGTGAGAGTCTTACAAACATTTTTCCCTTATACAAAACCATTACTAAAAATTAACTTTGTTCTTTTACATACTCTGGTTTCTTTTTCTTTTAATCTTTCTTTCGTCTTTACTTCTCTAGTTTTTCTTTACCTTTATATCTTCCTCGCAACCTCGTCAGGTTCGTCTAAAGGAGTTTAGCACTCACTTTCATCTGTCAGCCCGTGTCTCGTCAACACCAGGCTAAGTGTCTTTTACACCTTTTGACAGCTTATCATATCGGCACTTTATGAATCCTTCAAGCTACATGTGTATATGGAGGACAGCTATGTATGCGCTACTCCTCTGTGCTCTAAATCCTCATTTTTCTAATGAAGCGTGGTGGCCGAAGGTATATTCTTGTAGGCAATCCCTGAGTCAGGCCTCGATGTTTCAAATTGACTACGGCATGGCATTTTTCGGAGTATGGTGTTGACAAGTCTCAAAGAGATCAAAGTAAATTTTCTGTTGATAGAGTCACGTTTCATCAGAATTTCTGAGTTTACGACAAAACTGCGACTCTTTGCTTCTGAGACAAAGTGCCGGCAAGTCTGAGTGATTTTTATCAAAAAACTATCGAGATTGACCAACGGCTTCACTCCTCGAAATGATGCACTATCTTTACCTGATCAATACGCTCTTGATAGGATCAATCGGCCAAGTAATATGTGTTTCAGTTAATCATGGATCCATGGAAATAAGAAAGTCGATTTCCAAGCTTCATGAATCACCACGAGCTTTCAATAGTGGGTCTGACAGTCAAAATGTAGCACATATAGCGGCACAACCAGCCACTCAGGTCTGTCCAACCCCAACTCATGAACAACAAAGGGATTCGGAATTACAGGAGCTCTACCATATGACACTGAATGCTAGAGAATCTCAAGGAAAAAAGAGAAAACTATCACCCGACCTGAATATTTCTCATCATGTCTCTGGGTTTCAACATATGGCTCTCATGACAGGGGAACCAACCAGGAAGCCTCAGTTGCTAACAACTCCCTCTCTTGAAAAACATAAGGATGTGGAGATACAGTCGCTCTCTCATCTTCCACTCAATGCTAAAGAAACCGAAGGCAAAAAGAAAAAATTATCATTTGACTTGAATCTTCCTTATGATATCTCTTGGACTGAATCAGGAAATGAGTCACCTAATCATCGCACAATGACAGATCAAGTGGAAGAATATGTTCCAAAGCATGGATCTAGCTACTACTTTTATGAACAACCAAACACATTCACATCTAATGGGCCCCATGCTGTAGTTAACACTGCTTATCACAAGGGAGAAAGGGTATCCAGGTTACAGCCAAGGCCAAGGAAGAAAGCTTTGACTAACACTAACAAATCTGGAATATTTCAGTACACAGAGTTACAGCCACCACTAGCTTCATCGTCCAGTAGAATGTCCAATGCACGCCGAGATAGGCAACGTGGACCGGCTATTTTTTGGAGGTATACCTTCAAAAAAAGTGGCGAGTCAACCCTGCTTGCTGACCACAGAGTTAGAAAGATAGGAGAGCGCTGGCATATGGTACCATCCTTTCCTGCTATTGCACAACAATTGAAGCAACAAGGATTGAAATTGGCCATTCATAAAGGTCTACATCCAGAGGACTCGTGCAAAACAAGATTGGCACCTTGGTTTCATACCCTGGAAATGGACATGCAGAATAGATTTTGTCTCAATACTGGAAGCAAAGAGGGATCATATGATATCCATTTGGCTGTATTAAGAGCAAACAATTATCTTACTATGCAATTTTTAGCCAGTCTCCAAGTGATTCACTCTGCAGGTCTAAATGAGATGGATAAACTGTTTCCTGATGGATTGGAATTTATTGAACGTTTTTTGGATAGTTGGAGGCAAGTCAAGTGGGATGGTGCACTTGTTCAAAGTATTGATACTTCAAAATGTTTGGGTACATACACCCCTTTGCAAATATTGAGTCACTTTTTGAAATCATCCAGATCCTCACAATTATCATTATGCATTTCTTGGAGCCTTTGTAATGATTGGTACACTGTGTCCACTTACACACAAAAGAAAAAGATCAGTTTTGAAGATTATGTTATAATGAGTCACCAGTACCTAGCAAGAGCAGAAGTATTTCCTGAATTGGAAGTAGTACCTTTTAGTGCCCCTGACATGTCTCAAATGAAAAGACATTCTTTAACAGAGATACACTGGGAAAATATTTCTGCTGACACAAATCATTACAGAACAGCTTGCAGGATGATGAAAACAGTAGGAGAAAAAGTCTTGAAGAATTTATTGGATAAAGGCTCATCACTAGAATTCATCGAATCCCATTGTAATCACATGGCACAAAAGGAAGTGAAATGGCCACACTCATGGAAAGGGAATATCAATTCACTCAAACGGAGGGTCAAGAATGAAGTTTTCCCTTGCACCCTTGGTATGATTCAGCTTCTTTATCCCTTCAATAATAAACAAGAAGAACTCAATCCAGCAGTTGTTGAAGGTTTTCGGTTTCTGAAGATGCTTATCAAAAGTTGGGGAGAAGATGATTTGGAAAGAGCTTGTGAAATGGAATCTTTCAGTGTTAAAAGGTTTCATAAATTTGATGATGCAATCTCAATTGCACTACTCTCCCATTTGATGAAGTTGGCTCCTGACTCAAAGATACAAATTGCTTCAAGTGTGTTTTGGGGACTTTGGCAGGTTTTGAAGAAAATGGAGGGGTTTAAATTTACCACACGATTACCTATCAAAAAACAGTCTGATTTCATTGAAGCTATAAATAAGGCATGCATTGAATCAGGGTAATTTCATCTCAGTCATAATCATTTTCAGGCCTGACTTCTTTCTTCTTTTTCCATTTCCCTTCATATCATCAGCACTAGATTAAATTCATCACAATACATGCCTTGGAAATCTCCAAGAACATACATAATTTTCTTGAGATGTTAAAGTCTCATGACCTTCTCCAGATAAATTCTATCCTGTTTGTTAATCGAGGCACCACAAACTGCTTGTAAGAACCTTTGAGTATATGACTCAGATGAAAATTTGGGGAAAACCTCTGATACTCTAAAACTGAGGACCTGGAGTTATTTTTGTGAGAGGTATATAATCTCGCAATATCCACAGACCCAGTCTCTTAAAAAGAGCAAAAGAGATGCAACCAATTTGTTACCCCTAATGAATAACAGATAGAAAAAAAGAAATGCTAAAGAATAACTGTTGCGGGCATAAAAAATATGAAGAGCTGGGTGAGTAAGAGAGGAAATGACCTATAGAAAAAGGGAGATCACAATTTGTAACCATGACTGAATGAGGCATTGGTCTGATTATACAACTCTTGTCTGAGACTGTGCCATCATGTAAGTTTGATCAAATCAGTATTGCCACACCTGAAGCAGAGGCCAATTTTGGCTTGACCATTGAGATAAATTTGGTATCATGAGACGTCTCTTTTGCCACACTGGGCTCTTTTATATCCCATCTAAGCTCGAAGATATCCCAAATATCTAATCTGGGTTCATTTTGGGGCAAAAGCGTCACACTTGATTTCCGCATGCTGCGTGTCAGAAAGCACACACTGGAGTTATAAATCCTTAAGATCCAACAACAGTTCTTCCTTAGAAGTTACCATCTGTTATTCCTAACAAGGATCGGTGCGATGAAACTGTAGGAGAAGCTGCTTGAGGTTTCATTCCACAAGCGAGGGATGGATGTCTTTATATAGACATCCATCTCTGCAAAGTACAAATAAGGAAATAGGTGGGAAGATACAACGCGGTGATGTCAGAGACATCGAGATAAAGCTAGGATGGCCGGATCCGTTGGTACTTGGATCCGGTCGACAACATTGGTAGACGAATCCGGGGGATTTGTCGATAAGAGAAATGAGAGTACATTTAAAAAGCACACAAAGTAAAAGGAAAAGCATTCTTGAGAAAGCGGTGAGGAAAGAAACAGGTAACAAAGAGAACAATGGGATTCAGGGTATCACATCACCCCCTTTTTAAGTATGGAAACTTCCTAGTTTTCAGCACGGTTTTCATTGTGTTGTATTTCGTCGTTTAATACCTCCGACGCGCCGTGCAAGTAGTAAGAGAGAGCGCCCAAAGCTCTGGCGGAGAAGTCTCTGAGATTTCTGTTTGCTTCATCTGCGTATAACTCGTTATGTAGTTTTATTGCCAGATCTACGAGGTATTCTTCTCTTCTCGCTAACAACTCTTCTCGTTCTATATCAACAGCGGGTTGCGCTAATTCTTCTTGCGCGTTTGTCACGTTTGTGGAGTTCCCGAGAGGCATAGAAGAATTCCGCGGATCTTCCTTTATAAAGTTTTAAACGAGCTCCGTTTACTTTAGCATTCAAGATATGGCCATTCGCAGTCATTAAGGAATACGTACCGTTGGGGTAACATTCTCTAACAGCAAAAGGGCCATCCCATTTTGGATGCAACTTTGATGGTCGTCCTTCAAAGCTCCGTAGGACGAGATCTCCTGTCTTAAGACTTCTTTCCGTGTAGGTCTCTTCAGTTCTAGTATTTTGTTCTCGTGCTCTTGAATTAAGATCTTCGATAAGCTCGTCCCGTCTGCTGGCGTGCTTCCTGATGTCTAGGTTGCGTTGTTTATGGATTAATTCCAAGTTTTCGATAGAGTTATTGAAGTTAACACTTACTTTTTCGGATGGTAGGCGGGCCTCACTTCCATAAGCCATAAAGTAAGGTGAGGCTTTCATTGAGTGAGAGTATGATGCTCGGTGTGCGAATAAGCATGAGTTTAAGTATTCGTCCCAGCGAACTTGATTGTAGGGGCTACACATCTTCCGTAAGGCGTTCAGGAGTGTCCCGTGAAAACGCTCTACTAGGCCGTTAGCTTGAGGGTGATACGCGGTTGTAGTTATATGTAGGATGCCCATCTCTTGTACATATTCCCGGAATTCGCGTGAAATGAATTCCGAGCCGTTGTCAGTAGTGATTTCAACGGGTAAACCGTGGTTTAATGTGATTTCTTTTAGAAGGTCGATCGCGGCTGTGGCGGAAGTCCTTTTGAGTGGCTTCGCGTACGCCCATCCAGTTCCATAATCGATGGCTGTTACAAGATGTTGGTGATTATTAGTAGTTTTCACGAGTGGTCCCACGAAGTCTAGGCCCCATTTTCTGAAAGGCTTACCTCTAGTGATCATCTGGATAGGTAGGGTTTGTTGTTTTGTTGGTGCGGCATGTACTTGGCATGCTGCACAGAGCGACACCGAGTTCCTGACGGTCTGGCTTAAGCATGGGAACCAGTACCGTTTCTTGACAGCGGTGATGACGTCTTCGACGTTCCGGTGACCCAGGTCTTCGTGAATCTGGAAAGCTAGAGATTCAGCTCTGCCTTCATTAGTTGCCACAATTCGAGGGATCGTGCTTAAATTTTCGTCCTCATATAAGACCATTTCATTCTGGATCATTCGAAACAATCCGTTTCCAATTGTGGCTGGGTCGACTCCGGCCAGGAGTTTTAATTTGTATTTGACTAGGACTTTATAGGGATCTTTTTGTCCGTCCATGTTAAAAAGTGGCTGTGCCACTTCTGGTGGGTCGAGGTCGAATTCGGTGTTGGGTTTTCGTGACAAGGAGTCTGCTGCAAGTTGTTCTTTACCGGGTCGGTATATTATGTGAGTATCAAAGAATTCTATCTCGTCTACGAAACGAGCTAGTCTTTGGTTTATAAACTTCTGAGTCTTGAAGTGTTTGAGGGATTCGTGGTCGGTTCTGACTAAGACTGGGGAACCTTCTATGTATCCGCGAAAATGTTTTAGTCCGTGTACAATAGCGAGCAGTTCTCGCTCTTGGGCCGAGTAATTCTGTTCCGTTTTAGATAGTTTTCTTGATTCAAAGGCTATTGGACGTAGGTTGTTATTTTTAAGATTCTTTTGATACAGAGCGTAATCAAAACTTCCAGTTTTAGGAACTTCTGTCTGTTCATCTTGCTGTAACACCGCGCCGATGTTTGTTCCTGACGCGTCGGTGTCCAATACAAATGGGCGGAATGGTGTTGGATGTTGGAGGGGTACTGATCTTGACAGTGCTTCTTTTAGTGTATTAAAGGCCAATTGTTGTTCTTCCCCCCAATGAATCGAAGACCCCGGCTTCGGAGATCCCTCGGTGAGCTTATAAATTGGGGAAGCAATTGAGGAAAAGCCTTTAATAAACCTTTTGTAATAGGTGCAGAGGTTTAGGAATCCTCTCACCTTGGAGATGTTATCAGGTTGTGGCCATTCAATGATTTTGTTGATTTTTTCTGGGTTAGTCTTGATCCCACTGCCGTCCACAATATGTCCCAAAAACAGTAATGAGTTTCTGCCCCATTGACATTTTTTTGGCGAGACTACTAACCTGTTTGATTTTAGTATTTCGAATACACGTTTAACATGTTCCAAGTGTTCCTCGGGTGTCCTAGAAAAGATAATAACATCATCTAAGTATACCAGTGCAAACTTGTCAATGACATCACGGAGGATGTCATTCATCATTTCCTGGAACGTTGCCGGAGCGTTGCAAAGTCCAAAGGGCATTACTGACCATTGAAAGTGTCCCTGTCGACATGTAAATGCTGTTTTTTCTTTATCCTGCGGTGCCATGGGTACTTGCCAGAAACCGGATTTTAGATCAATCGTGGTGAAGTACTTCGCGCCCGATAGAAATTGATACGCGTCGTCAATTCGCGGTAATGGGTAAGCATTTTTACGTGTTACTTTATTTAGTGAGCGATAATCGACACATACCCGTGTCGAACCATCGGGTTTTTTTACCAAAAGCAAGGGTGAGCTCCAAGGGGAATCGGTTTTTTCGATTATTCCTTGTTCTAATCCTTCTTCCACAAATTGCCCGATAAGCTGGTGTTCCGGTGGTGTCAAGGGACGTCCGTGAGTTTTAATTGGTGTACTATCGCCTGTGTCAATAAAGTGTTTGTGTTTTCGTTCCACTTGCTTGATTTCTTCTTCGAAGCATTCCGGTGCCGTATCGCGAGCCGCCTTTTCGAGGATACTGTGTAGTGCATCAACAGCCATAGTGTAAAGATTGCTGCCGTTTGGCCTTGGAATGAAGTTGTGGCAGTGAGAGTTTTTTTCGATTTCATATTCCATATTTTCAAAATTGATTTTTGGCTTATGTTCTTTGAACCAGGGCATCCCTAGAATTAATTCTACGTTAGGTAAAGGTAATACGTATGCCTTGATGGTGAACCTGAAGAAGCCGCCATTGTTACAGTTGTCAATTTCCAGTTCGAAGGTCGCTGTCTTGGTTGAGGTTTCGTGCGCCCCGTTTGCTAACCTGACTTTCTGGCCTTGAGTCTCTTCAAGCTTAATCCGGTTAGGGTGGAGTTCGATCATCTTCTTGATCTTATCTTCGGAGATATAGTTTGCCGCAGCCCCGGTATCAAGGATGGTGGCCAAAGGGTAGTTTCTGAAGTGGCTCGTATAGGTTGGTAACGATGAGCTGGAGTCACTATGGGTTGCTAGATCAACTATATTAAGTTGTAGGCTTTTGTCATATAATCCTCCTTCTTCAAGTGTTAGGATGGCTTTGTCATCGTAATCTCCCAGGTCCTTAGGTCCGCTAACTGCATAACCCGTCCACCTAGGTCTCTTTTTGCTATGATTCATAATCTTATTCCATGATTCAACATGTTCAAGTTCTCTTTCTCCTAGCTCCTCCCTAGTTCTTTCTCCTAGGGGTGAGTGGAAGGGAGTGTTGGTAAAACCAAACCCGTCAATCCGACGACCGTCCATTTTTACTTCAGGGTAGGAGAATGTTCTCTCACCTAGGGGT